GTGCCACTACTGTACCAAGATGTCAGATGTGCCTGAATGGGCCTGAATAGTTTTTAGGAGAAACAAAGTTTTGCTAACTAAATAATTTTTAGATAAGCAGGACAGTAAAACAAATTTGGTCCCAGCTATCACAGCAGCATATTTTCTTTATATTGCACTACATTAATATATTTTTGGTAAGGTCATTTACCATAACAAATAGTTGCTAGAAGATGTAAAAATGGGATTTATTTTCCTATTAGGAGGCTTAATCTGCCTGCAGCAAAATTGCATCGTAAGTAGGATGCTAGAAATAGCATAGTAAGAAGTCATAGTAAATACTGCATACCAGGGAAAACCAAGGCACTACGCCACAGTAAATAATTGATGGAAAGTAGGAAAATCTCATATTGTACATCCTGTTGAGGCATTTTCCGAACCTCTGCGCACCTATTTCGAGGCAAACAAAGAAATGCATTTGGATAAGTTATCAGCACAGCGTTGAGCCTTGAGTTCATGCTAAAAATCTTCCTCCTCTTCGCTTCCACGAAAACCGCGCTGTGCAGTTGTGGTGCTTGTGCAATATGAATTCTGACTTATGCTTCCAAGAGACTACTTTAAGAATTTGTTTGAAGCTACTCGAGGTAAGATAAAAAACAGCATTCTTTCCACGGTATGTTGTTTGTTTGCCTAAACAGTTTGAAATAAACAAAGGCATAGAAAGAACGTAAAAGCAATCATGCGCGAGTCGCTCTTGGGGAAATTGGAATAATGCGGTGCTTGAGGTGTACTGGAACGTTCTCTAGGAGAGCCTGACGTGGAGGGAAACGGCCAGCCACAACCACCCAAACGTTTCACTGTTTGGTGGTGGCACCGATTTACTTTATTTTTTCATTCTGCTCCATTTAGCTCATAACCTTTAAACTAAATGTCCCATGTACATGTAACACCTGGCCATTGCGTATGTGACACGGTTATGGAAAGCACTGCAGTGAATTACAATAAATCTTAAGAAAACCACAAACCTTCCTTGACCGTGTCCGAATAAGGATCATAAGTGATTGAAATATTTGGGAAATTCAGTTAAACATTAAGTGCGAAGCATTTATTTCATACTAAATGATGAATGATTGGTTAAATAACAAAGTAGGGCGGTCATGCGTAAAATTAAGTACTGAACAAATTTAAAAGTTCACTTCCATTGAATACACTATTTTAAATTAGACTGTTCGGCAAAAGTGCAGGTCCTTCATTTCTAACCAAGAAAATGCCCCGTCGACCACACCTTTAATACACCTTGTTTACACGCTTTATATACACCTCTTTCAACGCAACTTCCTCCTAAAAATGATGTGCTGATGCACAATTGCATATTCTCTTATCAGAGGAATAGATGCTATCGATGGGACAGAACGCACGTCTCTATGCTATTCAAATTTTCCTCTTATTAAGGACTCTCAATTGAGTTGGCTAGGCAAACGAGGTGCAGCTTTTAAATTTTAGTTCTGCTGAGAAAGAATAAGGAGGGTGGAAATATGATACAGGTTCCTTGAGGAGAATACGAACAGCCTCACAAACTGTTGCGGCATTGCAAATATGAAACTTACCAAACACAAAACCGATGACAATGCATTCGAACATGGCAACGAGAAGAATTATGCGACTTCCAACATAATAGTCAAATAGTTGAAAGATGTATACTCCTCCCTAAAATTAAAATGCATACATAACTATATGCGTTTACATATAACAAACACTTCTGTTAAAGAGTGGAATAATCAGAGTATTAGTTGAAACTACAAAGCTACCTTAAGACCCCATCCCTCATCATTTTTTTTTCTGGTGATGCTTCTTACGGTGGTTCACATTTTTCTGCATGATCGCTTCGCAAGTGATCGGGATCATCAACTGCCTAAATTACGTGGCTATTAGCAGCCAACTGGAGGATGCTTTGGCAATAATTGTTGTACTAGCAATTATTGGAGGCTCTTTCAACCTGCCGAGTAATTTCCGTCAAGTGTATTGCCCTTCTCCCTGCTCTTCTCAAGTGTTGACGCATTTTCAATAGTTACGTGTTTAAAAACCGATCTGAGGAAAAATTAAGCATCTTTTCTATCGTGACTTGATTGCAGCTGCAGATAGAATTGTTAGATCTGTGAATATTAATTCTCTGCCTATTTGTATAACTATTTTTGTGGTTTCGAGGGGACTTTAGTCCCAGCCTTCATACTTTCACTGAGCATAGTGACCTCTGTGGCATGCCAGTATCCCTCAATCCTTCTGTACGTCAGCCAAACATGTTCTCTTCCAGCATTATGCCTTCCCTCGTCTTCGGGGAAGATGCTGGAGCCTACAGATAAACCACTAATATCAAATTCATGAGCCGGTTTATTTTTAGGTTGCTATGTTTGACTAATGTCATCTTTAAAATCTCTAAATTTAAATGGTGATTTGGAAGTGACTGAGCCTAAATTATGGAAATACTTCTCTTCAGTTGGAAAACGCGAGAAATATTTTCTGATTCAGGAAATTTTGGATAATCGCACCATTAATTTTTTTTACAAATCTATTTGCCAAGGTTATTTGGCGTGTTTGGCAGTCGAATCACGGTGTTAGTGGGAAGAAATAGCAAATTTTGCTTTTTATGCAAGTAAGTCTACTTGTCTATAATTAACCATTTGTTATTCTACACCACCTTAAACGTTTCAGAAAATTGGGGAAAGGACCCCTTCTGAAGTATCTAAAAATAGTCGGTTCTGGCCGTTCATGTGCTACTTTGAAAAAAAAATCGAGTTGCTCATAAACGCGGGTATGCATTGTGTGATTTAAGTAATAAATAAAAAGGGTTGGCTCAGCCTTCGGAGTACCCGTGATTACCGAAATGACAGGCTTAACTGGTTTACTGCGTCGGTCGTGAAACAAACCTTTAACCAATGGAGGTAGGATTTCTCACTGAGGTTTACCGATGAACCGGCAATTATACAATTCCATGACGGGTTTGGACTTACGTTAGTGACCATAAGAAGTCCCACAAAGAAGCATACAATGCTTGAGAAGATGGTCAGGAGAACTCGGGGTCGTCTAGATGAGAAAATCTCAGGAAACGTGTCTGCGACGCTCGATACGAGTCCTTCAACACCAACAAACTACGGTGTTTAGATTGAAAAAAGTTTTGTACCAGTTTTGAGGTCTAGATAGGAGGATTTTCATGGTTTATATTAAGCTTAATGCCCAAGAATGTAGTCATATGGAGCAGGTGTCAGCTCCATTAAATTTACTTTTTTCAGATCATAGCCTGCATTAATCATCGCTGAGAACTCATGAGTTTTGCACCCATGTCGGTCATGTTTAGTGTATAGCGTAGATCAGTTACTTTGGACCTTTTGTTCCCTCGCTGCTAATCCATGGTGCAGCACCAATTGGCCAGGTTCATTCTCCTGAATTACCCATGAAGGCATTACCGTCGAAATCTTAGGATGGTTCTATGGATCAAGAGCATCCTTTGAAAGACGTACGCCTAATTGCTGGCTTTTGAGGACTCAGTCCTTCCAATGGCTGCAAGGAACTTAGCCGGGTCCAGTAATGACCAATCCCTGTTCCAAGTCTATTTAACTAAACAGTACGGAAAGTAGATTATCTATCGGCTAGCATCGGATGCTAGCAAGTCAAAATATCACAATGATCAGGTGTATCAATGAATTTGAACCATCCTCGAATAAAATATCACACAGTTATTAGAAAAGCTAGATCAACAACATACCTGACTACCGAGACCAAGAAGGAAAAGCATAGCAAAGAAGAGGACACTCCATAGAGGACTCAGAGGCATGGTGGAGAGTGCCTTCGGGTAGGCTACAAAGGCAAGGCCCGGACCTGACTCGGCAACGTCCTCGATCGGCACTCCTGATGTCTCCGAC